CTGTCTAGAGCCGAGCAGAGCCCTACTCCTGACAGTCAGCAGGCAGCTCTTCCTGTAATAATATCCTCGCTTGTACACTTCTGACCGGCTGCTGGAGTTCCCTTCTTGCTCCCTGGACGCTGGGAATGGCGTTCATGGAGAAACCGTCCGCGGGTAAGATCCTGCTGGACGACACCGTGCCGCTGACAGCCGTGATCGAGGCGAGTCAGAGCTTGCAGTCCCACACGGTAAGCGAGCGAAGCGGCGGAAACGGAGAGCGGAGTTCGGGGATACGGAGCCCAGGCCGCCGAGAGCTGGGGCGGTTCTTTAAATTGTTTAACGTACCACCCTCGGTGTCGCGTTTTGTATATGCTGTTAATGAACTTGACAGCACGACTGGCAGAAAACCAACAGTTCAGACAATTACACTTTTAACCATTCAACAGTGCAGAGTTTCATAATCTGGATTTAGCGGTGAAAGAAGTACAGTAACGTGATGCGCATTTCGAAGTATCAGTCATTTCTTAACTCCAGCAAGTCATTCAAACGAATTCTGGTTATATTATCAGAGGATTTATTTGCTTCGGTCATCACTTACTATTCTAGATTATGTACCTTCACTGGAAACCATTTTTAAATTTATTTTGCCAGATTTATTTGCTGTATCTTTTCATTTTAGGTGTAGTATTCGTACCTAGCTTCGACGTAACATTAGTGTAAACCACGCATACTGGAACGATTCCAGTTCCCTACTGGGAATCGCTAGTCATCACTTTTTGGTTAATTATTTATCATCTTACGATGTAGAAACGATATTATACTGATTCAGAATTAAACTGCTAAGAGGAACTGCGGGCTCATTCTGGTGTCTGCCTGGCCGTTGACTGTTTTTCTTGCTTTCTTGGAGTTTTTACATCTGTGCTGTTCTTTCCGGTAAAATTCTCAAAAGCAAAGTGAAATCCTTTGCAGTCTAGAAAGAGTTTTATTATGCTATTCCTTCAACGCTGATTTGGAAAAACAGGGAAATCGGAAAATGGGCCTCTTACTACTCTGCTAACCTGAACAGTCAAACCTGTTTCCGATGTCAACTGCAAACACCAGTTCTGTACAGAGAAGGAATTTCTCTTGTTATAAAGACTTGAATCGGCATTTACTGGATCTGTTAGGTTTGCACTTGTCAGTAAAGCCACTTCCTCCTTAAAAAATATTATAGTTTCATAAATGTTGAGTGATTCAAATCTAGGTCTTGTAGGGTTTTTTTTTGTGTCAGTTTTGTCCAGATAGGAAATGGAACTGATTTTCCTGAAATGCATGTTAACATTCATCCCCATACTCTCCTGGAAAGGCAGGGTTGTTGTTAAGTTGTGAGACAAGGAGATCAGAATACTCATTTACAGTTAATGGTGTGAAACATTAACATCTAGTGCTACAGTAATAAGTCTGCTTCACGCTGATTAAATGATCAGTGCTTTGGGTCGCTGAAACCACGTTTGATTTGCATTAACTCTGATGCATACAGTGATGAATATTAACCTGGGCTACCATTTGTCAGAAAAATATATTCTGGTTAGAAAAACTGTGTTTTTTCTAATTTATTTTGCATTTTAGTCCATTTAGTACATTTAAGTTGTTTTATATGAATGCACATCTCTTTCAAACAACACAGGTGCACAGATGCACAACAGTAAAATTATGGTGCACTCAGTGTTGATTAAACTTTTACGAGCGAGACTAGGAAGACTGGGTTTTGAGTTTGACAACAGATGAAATGTGTTCGAATCAACGTTACAGTGAGGTCCCAGATGTGTTAGACATGGAAAAAACAGAAGTGTTGTGTGTAAAATGTCTTTATCATTGCACGTGTTTTGTAACATCTTAAATATATGTAAAGCACTCGAAAAGCAAGAACAGTGTAAGATTATTTTCGGAAATGACATGCAATAAAACATCAAGCTATGAATCCTCTTAAAGTTTGGAAAATGTGCTTTTAAGTTGTGTGAGCCTGTACAGTGTTACAGAAGTTTAACAGATCATAGAACTAAATGATCTCAGGACACTTTAATTTTCCTGCCTTGTTGGGAACTTCCTTTGACACAAGCTGTGTGGCATATGGAGTTCCCAAGACCTCAGCAGAACCTAATCACATGTCAAATGCTTTTTGTAATGTTTGTTTGAAGGCAACATTGTAAAATGTATTGTATAAGGCAGAAGCAAGATGATAACAAATGTGAAGGCCACTACTTCCTGTAGTTTGGTGACTGAAGAGAAGCAGACATCAGCATGATTCTTGTCACCACATTTTTTATGATCCGAGGTTACGGAGTGCTGGGGTAGCATTTGTAGATACACTGCATTTCACTAAATGAAACAGTCTAAAGAAGCTTATTTCCACAAATTCGCCTCTTCCCCTTCTAATACCCTCTTCCTAAAAGCATCACAAAAATTAAGATGTCAGACAGTTGTAGGTCTGATGCTGAGCTTCACCTTTCTTTTTCTTTTCAAGGAGTATATTATTCGTGTACAGAGAGGTGTGTCCACAGAAAACAGCTGGCAGGTAAGCAGAAATGGACTTGGTTAGCATAAGGTGCAGGGAGAAAAGGAGCAGATCCAGCCACCTTCTTGAAGGCCGAGGGATTTGTTTGTTGAATCTTCCAATACTGTGCAGCCAGCAACAAGTAAAAACCTCCAAAACAAAGATCTTGTACTATTATTTTTATTTGATCCTGGAATACAGTTGCCATAGGTAGATTTGTTTTTTAATAACAATGTAAAGATATCCTTACTCTTTTATAGTGCTTTTCTGGACAGTGAGGTTATATTTCCTCTTAAACACCCAACAGTATGACCTTAACTCAATTACAAAAGAGACCTCTGATTTTTAGCATATCTTGACCCTCTGAAGTTCCAACAATGAACACATATCAAAATTCAGTCAGACATAAAAAGACTTTAGTATGCCCTCCTGAGTCTACTAGATTTAGAATCCCTAAGATTTTGCTTTTCGAAATTCCTTTTAATGGTCATAGCCATGATACACTGTCATCCTGTTTATTTCTTTCCATTAGGTCAGCTTACAGATAGTAAATTGCTTTTCTGTAAAAGGCTGTCTGGCTTTGTTTACTGCAAACCCATGGTAGCGCCTTGTGCAATTTTACCATAATTGGATTTCAAAGGATTACCTTTGTTAAGGGAAAGAATGTCCTTTTTCTATTATTGACAAAGAATAATGCAAAAAGAAATGTTCTCTTTTTGTAACAGGCTTTTTTTGTCCACAGTACTAAAATGTTTGTGTACTTTCTTAGGTCATAAGAAGATACAGTGATTTTGACATGCTGAACAATAGCTTATTGGTGAGAACTTTTTCAGTTTTATTGTTTTTCACAGTAATTGCTTGGGTTGAATTGTAAATCATATAATGTACTGTAGGTGCTATATAATGCTGCTAGAGCAGAATAATACAGGATTGTTTTGTGTTCTTCAAAACCGGAAAGAGATTTTAGATTTATTTTTAGAAAATCTGTTTTATTTCTTCTTAATGTTCTTAATTGTTCTGACAAGTGGATTACTCTTGCGGGGATCAGTGAGTGGTTGTATTATTTTGGATAGGTAATGTGCCCTAAAGCTTTGGCAAACACATTGCCGCTGTGAGACCTACTGTATGTGAGGTGTCTGCCCCAGCTCTTTCTGAATTTTCTCTCACCCTGTTCCCTTTTTCTATACAGATCTCTGGCCTCAGTCTGCCCCTTCCTCCCAAAAAGCTGATCGGGAACATGGACCGAGAGTTCATCGCAGAGAGACAAAAAGGTCTCCAAACCTACTTGAACTTTATAACAACACATCACATCCTGTCCAGCTGCGAGCTGGTCAAGAAGTTTCTGGACACCAGCAATTACTCAGCAAACTACACAGGTGGGCAGAAATATACATTGCTGGAGGATGAGTGGATGAGTCAATCGCCTGCTTATTTTGGCTCAGGAGTGTATTGGTATGCCATGTGTACAGATGCATGTTGGAGTTGATGTAAAGAGAAGGTGGAGAAACCAGCAATTCCCAAATCATGTTAATGAGGTACAATCCAAACCTTTTTATTTTAGTACAGTTTGCAGTACAGTAAATGCGTGGGCTCCACATGTATTTGTATATTGTATATAACTGTATACATGTGCTATCAGTTTTTTTGCCAGTTTTTTTATTTACTCTCCCTTTTATTTAACCATTACTTACAGGCTGTTCTACTTATAATGGAAAGAAAATTTAATTTGAAGCCTCTTTCTAATCATTCTGTTGACCACATCTGTCCTATTGAAAAGTTCTGAGTGTTTTTGGTTTGGTGTTCTATAAACGCTTGTCAGTTTCCGCTGTGCATTATACCAGAGATACTAATCCTTATTTTTCCCCTGTCTACAGAAATTGCCCTACAGCAGGTTTCCATGTTCTTCAGATCTGATCCGAAGTGGGAGGTGGTAGAACCATTAAAAGACATAGGTGAGATAGTTTGCAATACTCCTAGATTCCCCCTTTAGTGTTTTATTGTTAATTGTGCTCTTCACTTAAATTATGTTTTGCATAATGCATGTGTGTCTATTTTGGAGGCATATAAAATCTGCTGGTTTTTTTTTCCGTCTGTTAGAGAGACCAGATTATTATTATCGGCTATCGAGTACGACATTAGCTTCCTTATCTCTGTGCTGTTGAATTTTAAGTGGGTTGTTTTGCCATTGTAACACAACCGTTTTCTTGCCTCGTTAAGGTATTTTAAAACACTCTTTTTATGCCCAGACCTCTTCTTTAAGAAAACCCGATGAACAACCTTAAAGCAGGATTCGGTGAAGGGAGGCAAATTGTGAAGGAATGAGTGTGGCACCCCATCTAGTTTGGGAAAGGAGAAGCAGATCTTTAGTAAATATTGAGTCTGGAGAGACGAATCATAAGGCTGTTATAGTGTTGTAACAGGAATGCCATTGACAAGTGCACAGAACTATATTATATTCGCCATAATTATCAGTCTTATGGCGTTTCAGTTTGGCATGTAGGAAGACATCTTCCCATTTTTATTCTGCTTTCGTTACTCAAAAAGGCTTTTATACTTTTAATTACTGTGTGATTGCATTGTTGTGGGTTGTTAACTCTTGTTCTATGTTATGAAGGATGGAGGATACGGAAGAGGTTTTTCCTAATTAAAAACAAAGATCAGCCCAAGGAACGTCAAGTCCTTAATTGGGTGAGTGACGTGTTTCATACTATATATTCTCTGCAGCTCGCTCTACATTTACAGTGTACATAAGAGAGCTCAGTCACCGGATGTATAGAGACTGTGTAGTACAAGATTGCCTAGAATTCCTGATTTCAGCTATTGATCTTAGATGAAAGACAGAATTTTAAATAAACAAAATACAAGGTCTTTTTCTTGGGAAGGGGGCCAGTTTTGCTTTTTTCAGTGTTGTATATACTTGACTGGAGATTATATGAAACCTTCAGGTAACAGCACATAACATTCGATAGTCGTTAATTATGGCCTTTCATCTCAAGTGAGGATTAGGAGTTTAAGATAACAGGTTTTGCTGGTCCTTTTCTTGCAGGCTGACCTGGGTCCTGACAAATTTCTGTCTGACAAAGACCTTCAGTCCACAATGAAGCTTCTGCCCACTGTGTCAGTAAGTACAGTACCCCGCATTTGTTAACTATTAAGAAAACAAATACATCTTTACATTCTTGACTCTTTTATTAAACAATTTGCAATGCAGTGATAATTCTATTCTCTCTTAGTAGTTTACGAGTGAGTAGGTTAATAAGACCTGAACAGAATCACAATTCACTGTCACAAATTGCAAATAACCCCGTTTTGTTAGGTGCTCTGTCTTAAAAAAAGTTGCTCTATAGTTTATATTCATTGGCTTCACAGACCAAATAAAGTCTTTCAATACTTGTCATGAGACATCGTATTAACTGGGATCATTAAGATTGATTTTAAACTACATGTGAAAGATGACTTTGAAACAGGGAATAATAATAATATCAACAATAATAATAATTCCTTATAATTGTATTCAGTAGAGCTTTTCTGGACACTCCACTCAAAGTACTTTACAGTTAACAGGGACTCTCCTCTACCACCAGCAATGTGCAGCCCCCACCTGGATGATGCACTAGTATGCTGAAAACACATCAGCTGTCAGTCGAGAGGAGAACAGAGTGATGAAGCCAATTCATAGATGGTTATCATTAGGAGGCCACGATAGGTAAAGGCCAGAGGGAAGTTTAGCCAGGGCATCGGTTACTCTTTTCAAGAAACGCCTTGCGATTTGTAATGACCAAGGAGAGTCAGGTCCTCGTGTTTGAGGTACGAAAGATGGCACCTTTTTTACATAAAAGTGTCCCCATCACTTTACTGAGGCATGAGGACCCACACAGACTGCAGGGTGAGCACTCCCTACTGGTCTTACCAACACATGTTCCAGCTGCAGCCTTAGCTTTCCTAAGAGATCTGCCATCGTGGTACTGGCCTGCTGAGCTCCAGTGGGCTCCTAGTTGTGAGTTGTATGGGGATGTAGCTGCTGGCTCCGGAAGTATCCTGTGCCTGTGAAGCAGCATAAAGTTTTGTTTTGCCAGATGGACTTAGTTTTAGGCAGCGGTCTTAACTGGAAACAGTCGGAAGCTTAATGTGCTGTGGATTCAAAAGAAAACACTCTGGGCAGCTGAGAAAAGAGACAGTCCTGAAACACAACATTCTGGGGAGAAGCACAAGGGAGAAAACTCATTGAATTGATTCTGACATAACTTTGAAACCCTTTCTCTCTGCTATCAGAATAACCTGATAAATATCAAGCTTTAGGTTCCTGCAGGGATATAATCCATTGCTAAGGCCTATCTCATGTTCTGCAAATCCCTCAGAAAAGAAGTGCATTACAGTGTTAACCTTGTGCTAATGAGGCTTTTGTGTGCTATCCCTCCGGGTTATTGATGGCTTATCATTTAGATTCACATTTGATGCTGACCTTGAAACAGAACTTTGAAGCAGACAACACTTAAAAAAATCTGTCGCAAATTCATTATAGATGTTTACTGCATTAGTCTGAAAACTGGCGTGTTTTCCTGGTCTCTGATTCACAAAGTGCTGCATTTTTTCAATTTCTCATCTTCTCCTTAGAAAAACTGCTTTAGGGTTAAAAAAACCAGGAGTGTCTCGGCTGTAGTCCTGTGAATGTCCCATGACTTCACTTGATTATGTTTGTGATTTAGCTTGTGGATGACATAAACACATGCTGCATACACTATACAGTATGAAGAAAGATTGTATTTTCAGTTGCTGTCCCAGAGAATATGTGATCGAGTAGACTTTTATCTTGCAGAAATAGACTCATTTTAATATATAGATGCTTTGAAATTACCACCAAAATATTACAAGCACACTAATACCTTTGATTCAGTACAATAAATGAAAACTTACCTTGGTGTATGAAAGTAGGTTTAAGAGTGGAAATAAAAGTGCTAACTGTCCTGCAAGACGTAATATAGACTGGAAGCAAAATAACAGAAAGTACAGTCTACTGAGGTTTGGAGCTTCGTTCTGGGACCTGGAAGATGGCCAGAGTCCAAATGGCTTAAACTTGTCGGCTTTCAAAGTTAAGGTTCACTAGGTCCGGGTAAAAGGTGAAGCCAGGGTTCCTAGCCTGAGAACCTGGACTGATGCCAACATCATCAGCACTCAAACTGATATTGACGCTGTTGTAGAGTTGATAATTAGAAGGTAATGATTAGTATCACTTCAGTCTTGTCAGAATACATCTATAAAAATATGAGGGTGCATCCTTTAACAAAACCTAAGCCGTGTTACAAGCCAAATAGTGCTAGATTAACATTGTGATTTCTGCAGATATTCGTTTCTATTTGTATGCTGATTACACACAACTTTTTGTCATACCTACGAAGAATCTGACCCCATGGTTACCAACAAACCAAAGTGAATGGTATCAAGAACAAAGCTCTGCAAGATGTGACACATTTTTGCAAAGAGGAACACGTTGTTTTCCTTTATGTAGGTGAGGTTTATTGAAACATATTAGTAGGTTAAACACCACTGAAAAAATCCTTGAACTTAAAACTCCTTCTTTGTTGAAATGTTCTGTGTGCTGTAATGTGAAGTGCCTAAGATTCCCTGTCATACAATAATGTGGTTGGAACTCATACTGCAGAGCCCGCTTGCTTCCTGCAAAGATGGGACAGAAGGATGTCTCAAAATTGGATCTCTTGATTTCCGCAGCGCCAGTGGCAGGGTGTGGCTTTGACGACAGCTGGGATACAAGCTAGCACCTAGCAAAATGTTTTATTGCTTTTTCTTTTCCAGCATCCCTTCATTTGCCCTGTTACCTTTGCTACAGCGAGCGAGTCCTCGGCGCTGGTGATCAGGATGTTCGGCGAGAAAGGCACGCTGAGAGATCACATATGTAAGGTAAGCTGCTTCATGCCTCTCTCAGCAGGCCTCAGAACTTCACGCCAGCTTGCCCTGCTTTTCACTAATGCATTTTCTCATCTTGCCTTTGTCGTTTGTCAGTGGCACCTCGTATTCTTGCTACGAAATCGCGTCGTACAACTTTCTTTTGTCAAGATGATGATTATTTTTTTATTATTTTCATTCCATTCCCTGGTATGTAAAGGAGCTTGATGACATTTTTGGAATTACATTGATTCCGGTGTAGGTACCAGAACCTGGGATTCATTTAATTCTTTGAAATATCAGCTCTATGAAATGTTTCCCCTTGTTAGCCTCAAACACTTTTTTTTATTAAGAGTTTTTGACTGAGTTCCATGAGAGTTTACATTTCTTATATTATTGCAGAGCCAATGCTATATAATAATATATGTAACATATCATACTATGTACGCGTCATTTCATAAAAAAGCAGTTATGATTTGAGAGAAACAAAAACACTAATTTTCGGTGCACCTCTAATTCACTAGTGCTTTGAGTGTTGAAATCCCAAAATGTGGCTCATAACAGAGAATCTAAGAAGAACTGATTTTATATGACAAGGTATGAGAATAGAAGAGTTCATTCCATGAACAAAATGCATACATTTTATTTGTGTTTATTTGTGAATTTACATTATGGTCAACCTGCTTCCTTCATGCTTATTTCTTGCTTCTTTTTTATTTTCATGACTTCCCCCACCCTTTCTTTTGTTTCAAAATGCACCCTGATGTGATTTGGCTGAGCATGATCACACTTGTTTACAGCAGTGCCAGAAGCAGCCAGTGCTGAGATAAATTGCTATCTAATCCAATCCTTGTCTGTTATTAAATGTAGAAGAATATCCAGAATGCTTAGTAAATTCTTGCAGCTGATACACTGAAATCATAAAATGTAAGATTATGTTTTAGATTGGTTAGTGTTTAGTATGCAATTTTAAAGCAAGTCTTCAGTGATTCTGTCTGTTGTCTTTCTTTAAAGGCAAAACCAAAAGAGCCTTTCTTGAAGAAGTACTGTAATCCCAAGAAAATCCAGGGCCTGGAACTCCAGCAAATTAGGACATTTGGAAGACAGATATTAGAGGTACGGTATAAATACATTCTCTTGCATTTTTTTATTGTCCTTCGGTTTATTGCACGGTTTTGCCCTTGAGAAAAATACTTTCTGATGTTCTGACTTAAGGCATAATTTTCGACGCAACCAAAACAAAGTTTATTTTCAAAACAAGTTTGTAATGGTATATACGTCTGTTATCATGCAGTATATCAGTCAAGCTTAATACTGAAAAAATGGGTACATAGAATTCTTCTGGTTAAACCCATGATCTGTGCTGTTCTAAGATTGGCTTATGGTTTTGATGTGTCAATTAGATCTGGATTTCAAGAGCATAGGAAGATCTTGTGAGTTATGGGGGAGTAGTTTATTAGTGTGACTGATCACATCTGAAAGAATTACACATCAGCATTGAGTTATTTAAGGATGAACTATTAAATCTCTATAGCCTGGTAGTATTTTCCCAGTTATACTTAAGATAATCAATGTTATTCTTAGGCCCCAGGAGACCACATTTCACCTTTCACTTATGATTGGATCTACTGTGTACTCACAGCTTGGAGAATTGTGAATGTAAGATCAATTAATAAAAAACAGACACAAGATTGAACCAAGAAACTTCTGTATAGTCCAGACCATCGAGTCTTATTTCGTTACCGGGAAAGTTTAGAAACAATACAGCAAAATAAGAATACAGTACTTATAAAACGGAGGCATGCAGGGGAAAGCCAAAATGGCTTTGGAAAAGGAAGTTAAGTTTAAAAAATAGCTAACTAGCTTTTGATTACGGTCTATTAAAGGTTAATTCTCAAAATTAAAAGCCATAAGAGCGTCATCGTGAAGCATCATCTTAAGGGTCATAACCTATATGGAGGTACTGTAAGCTGTGGATCTCTGAGTCTGTGGTTAACATTCTGACCTAGTTTGCCAACTAGTTAAATCTACAGGTGATAAACAATAGGGAAAACAGAAATATCAGAATTAATTTTGAATTCACTGAATTTATTTTGTTACCGAGATTTATTAACCAGTCTGAGAAATTGGAACTGCACTTCCCCTTTAATTAAGGGACATTATGCTTAAATTTGCCCTGTCTAGCATGACAGAAATTGTGAGGCAGTTCCAGGTACGTAAGCGCCTGAGTATATCATATCCTAAGGGGTCTAAACGGGGCCAACCAAGGTGAGTATTTCCAGATCTGCAGCAAAATGAGGACTCCGGGTCACAAAAATCTAAAAGATCTCATTTACTAGGGAAATCGGAGACAGTTCTTTACATTAAAAAGTTGTAGATATTTGGAATACGCTTTCCACCTAGGTGATTAATGCCCAAGCTCTAGGCTCCTTCAGGAAATGACTAGACAACATTTTAGATTCACTTAGCTACTAAACTGCCAAAATAAACAAAAAGACCTCCTCTTGTTGGCAGCCTTTCTTCGTATGTTCTTGTTTTTTTTTAATAACAGCCTCCAGCCTGTCTTTTAGAGTCATTAAGAACATGGCCTGAGCAAACTGTCTTTATGTTGTAGGCAGAGAGGGAATGCCCTTTTCACAGTTCCGATGGCGACTGACTTGCACACATGCACGTGACCTCTGTGCTCATTACAGCTCATTACAGCGTTCCTAAAGGCCTCTGGCGTTCGTGTGTGGTGGTGTGTGCTTGTCAGAGGTGCTTTTCATCGTTGCCCATTATCTTCAGTGCTCTCAAAGTAGAAGTACAGTGAATATAAAGTGTGCCTCACACCCCTATCTCCTGTTTTCTAGCTAAAAAAAATGTAACTGTTTTATGTTGTTCCTTACATTCCTCTCTTTTATTTTTTTTTCTGCTTGTAGGTCCTTAAATTTCTTCATGACAAGGGATTTCCATATGGCCACCTCCACGCATCTAATATCTTGTTAGATGGAGACACCTGCAAGTTGCTAGACATAGAAAATACTTTGCTTGGACTTCCTTCTTACTACAGACCTCATGCAACGCAGTTCAGGAAAATCAATGTAAGTAAGGATAGAAAAGTACTTTTTGTGCTCTTGCTCTATTGCTCTGTGCTCCATTTTTCGTGTAACTTATTAGAATCCTATCCTGTGCCCTTTTGTTATAGAAGACTTTTTTTTCCTACATGAAGATGTGAAGTTTTATCTCCACATTATTGTGGAGGTGTAGCGACTTATACACATTATCTTGCAAAGTCTTCTCCAAACAAGCTGAATGGATGTGTGGAGATGAAAACGACGTGTGTTGAAAGCAAAGTTTTTTTTTATTTAAAGTATTTTTTTATTGAACAGTTCTCGGTCGAGCTGCAGAATTTGTAATAAGAACATAACAGGGGCAGATGCTTTTCTATATTGCATTATACACATATTGGCTAAGCTGTGCCTTGCTGAAGAAGATGATTTAAATCAAAGAGGAGTGTAGGAGGTGCAAGGTCTGAGTCAACGCAGAGTTTCGTCATAGCTATAACAGTTGAAAATGGAGGCTAAAGAAATTTTAGTAATGACAATACTGCACCTCTTACAAGGTATTCATTGCTGTTCGTTGCTGCCCTTTGAATGAGAAGTTAATTTGTGGTTCTGACTGCTTGGTCATTAAAAAATCAGTAGTTTGAAAGAGGTAGGGGTATGATCCCCAATGTCTTGGCTAAATTCCACACAATCTGGCCTTGCTTAAATCTCCTGTTTATTTCAATTGCTGTATTCTCCCTACTCACTGAACCATCTGATCTGCTGTGCAGTGGGGCCGCAGGTGCAGAGCAGTTGTTTGTCATTTATACAGGTGGTTGCTGCACTGCGATGGTAAATAAAACGAGCCTCTTCCTATGTCTACATAGGAATTTTCAGATGTTTTGGGATGAAAATTGCTACACACATGCAAAAAAATTGTTATATTAGACATTTTTATTGAGTTTGTTCCTTGAATGTTAATTGTTTGAATGTGCCGTTTGGAATATTTTTTAGACAACAGAAGACATTGACGTTTACTCTTTTGGGCACTTGCTGTATGAAATGACGTATGGGAGACCTCCAGATGCGGTTCCAGTTGACTGTTTTCCACCTGCTCCCTCCACGTCCATAGGTCAGTCCAGAAAAGGCCTTACTGTTATATAGCCTGCTTTGCCAACACGCAATTCACAGGTATTTCCTTTCCAGCAGTTAGGAAACCTGAACTGGATTAATCAATTCACTTCTGCGGTCATGTGTGCTTTGTATATTCTTCTATATCTTTGGTAAAGGAATCAGTTGTGTGGAAATATAATGGAAGTAGGGAAATTTAAACAGGTTAGTAAAGCATCATTGAAAACTTATGGTCTCTCTGTGTATTAGTGTCCCTCCAGTGAGTGGATAAGTACGTCTAAACAAGGAGCTTTACTGTGTGAGTCCTGTTTATCTTCAAGCTGTCAAAAACAGCAAAAAAATGGCACGGAAGTTCTTCTTCCCCAAACTCTTATGTAGCGTAGCATAATAAACAAAACACAATTTGCAAAGGCAGTATATGGAAATTTCGGTAGTACAGCCGTGTCTCGGATGTATTCATTACTCTGCTGCCCCTTTGGGTGATGTTAATGTCTGTAACTCCCATCTGTGAAATTGAATTTCTGGTTGTCTTACAGTGTCTGTGTTGCAATCCATCCTCTCCACCGAAGCCTGCAAAGCTGGAATGCCAGCTGTTTCCCAGCTCTTGCAAAATCCGTAAGTTAGCCTGAGGTATTTCTTAGAAATTAGGATGTGACTGTAAGGTCACTAGTTCTATTTAAGTCCTTGCTTGTTCCATGGACCATCTACAACAGTGGTTCCCAGTTCTTTTCCTAGAGCACTGCAATCTTGTAGGTTTTCAGTCCAGCGCGACTCTTAACCTGCTTGAATTATTGGCGTAATTGGAGAAGTTGATCAGATTTTCCCAGGTCTTCAGTTGTTACTTATTCATAGAGAGCTAGAAAACGTGCAGAAATGTGTTCCTCCGAGACGGGAGAGGGAAGCCCTGATCTCCAGGCTTGAGTACTCACAGCCTCACTTTGTTCTAGAGGTGAATTTGTATGTGCAGTGGCTAGGGAGCTGCATAAATTACTTATTCTATATATCAAAAGACTAAGTGACTAATGACTAGGGGAAAGTATCAAATAGAATTTTACTGTTCGATCTATAGTGTAGAAAATCTTTTTCTAATTAAATCTAGAAACAAATTGCAACATGTATGCTGCTTAAATATTTATGGCAGGTAAATCTATAAAGTTCCAAGGAAAATGGGTTATATACAGTACTGTTATACATTTAAGCTGCAAACATGGGTGTGACAGTGTTACAGGTATTTCCTCAATAAAAAGCCTAAGGAATTGTTATCATGTGCATTATATAAATTGACCCTTTTTTATCCTTGTTTTTGGATATACTGTATATACATTCTGTAATACCACAGAACATTTTTTTTTCTTTTTCTAGGCTTTTTAGTGATATTCTGTTATTCAACTCGGAGAGACCCCAATTCAAGGTGAGAAGGAATAGCTTTTATCTGAATGAGCCGCATAGTATCAAAAACAATATTCACATAATGTGCAGGACATTTACTCCTGCTTCTTTAATACCTACAGTATGTATACAGTATATGGGCGGAGCGGTGGCTCTGTGGCTAAGGATCTGCGCCTGTGACTGGAAGGTTGCGGGTTCAAATGCCGTACAATGGCAGATCCTGCGCTCTGACCCCAAGCTTCTCTCCTTGTCTGTGTGTCTGTGTCTCCATGGAGAAAAGCTGGGGTATGCGAAAAGAGGAATTCCTAATGCAAGAAATTGTATAGGGCTAATAAAGAAACATTATTATTATTACATTATTACTATTATTATTATTATCATTATATAACCTGTTATAGAATGTGCAATGCCTTTTTCTTACAAACAGTCCACAGGATCTTATAATGACCAACTAGTATTGAAACTGGGTTAACATCCCACTGTATTCAACTGCATCATATAATTCTTTTGTCAATGAAATTGCAGATTTCAACTAAATTAAAGGATGCCTTGAAGAGTGCTAAAGAAAACCTGGAAAGAAGACTGCAGGAAGAACAAAAAATGGTGAGCTCAGTTTTCCTCCCCCAGCCTGTTAGCTGTGGGGGAATTGAAACCAGAGCCTCAGGACTATGTTTTTGTAATATTAAATATGTCCGAGGCTCATGTCAGCATGAGCGTTTGTTGTTGCCAGAAAGTTGTGGCAGAGCATATTCAGCAATCACATTTGCATGTTTCATTTTCTCTCTCAGATTCACCAGCACAGGAGACTAACCAGGGCGCAGTCTCATCATGGCTCAGAAGAGGAGAAGAAGAAAAGAAAGATTTTGGCAAGAAAGGCAAGAAAGTTTTAGTTAATTGAAAAACATAGTAGTAATGATACAATGGCAAAATCGTCTTTTTTTTTTATAAAGCTGTCCTTTTTTGGATCCGAGCTGTCAACCTTTAGAAGTTTAGCTGCTTGTGCCTTTAAACAGGTCCAGGGTTTGAAAAAGCAAGCCTGGAACTGGTTTCATTTTTGTTTTGTTAGTGATTGGCACAAGATCTTTTGACATGCTTGTACGTCTAATCCTTCCGTTTCTGACTGTTTTGAAAGAATTTATTAGAGGTCAAAGAAAAGAACAGCATGTCCTGTTTCTTCTTTAACAGAAATCCCGACAGTCGGCATACGAAAATGAGGAAGATCTCTCTATGAAATGTAACAACTCAAACAATTCTGGTACGTAATGATCGATTCTTTAAAGTTGCAAAGTTTGAAACCATTGTTATAATGAGTATTTTTTATAAATGAACATGATTATTAAAGGTGAATGTTAATATATCAGACAGCTTTGTTGTTAATTTTAATGTCTGTGTATGATGAAAACTGTGGAGCACAGTTGTCCCATTGTGTATACACACCTACGCGACACCCTTCAAAGTTATGTGCATCAGTTAAAAACTTGTTCTTTGTTCACGTGGATAATATAAGCAAGTTTCTAAACAAGAAAAGGCCATTCAGTTTATATTTTTAATTTGATAATAGCTTATACTATAGCTTGATACCTGGCTCTCAAACTGTACAACCATTTCTTGAAACAAATGAAACAAAATCAGTTTTGCTGTAGATTCTTAAGCAATGGAGTGAACTTATTCTTAAAGAATTTGAATGCTGTAATCGGGTCCCCAGTACAGTTCTCTTGCTGTTCAAGACTACAATGATGCAGTTATTTTGGCCTGCCTTTTAGCCTGGAGATGTATCCGATTGCTGGACTGAGCAATCAGACTGAAACATCAGTTGCTTTTCTGCAGCATGATAATCAAACTTGTACATTGTATTCAGTTTGGGGTCTTACTTGTGCATGGTACATTTTTAATATAGCATTCTCCCATTTAAATTTTTAATACACTTTTTCATTCTATATCCTTACTATTTTATTACTACACCATATTATCTAGAAGGCATAAATGATCTGTCAGCTTTGCCACCTAAGTGCCTCTCGCTCTGTATCTTATATGTGTTCTGCATTATTTATTGTTACATGTGATGTTTTTTCTAACTGTACTGTATCCAAAACCATGTACTTGGCATTTAATGTAGAAATCTGCTCAGGGTTGAATACTATTTAAATATTTTGGAATTTCCTTAAAATGTTAAACAGACTAAAGCCTATTCAAAATCTGAATATGTATTTTTGTTTTGCCTGTATTGGTTGTAGCATATTATAATTTAAGTAAATTAGGATTAGGGCCACATTCAACTAAGGAGGAAAAGGCTCCCCCTGATGGTGTTATGCCACAGTGGAGATCTCTATATACTTACTGTAATTAAATATAAGCAACTTACCATAAAGAAAATACGTTCACCACAGTTGAAAAAAATCCAAGCTTAAGTTGAATTTTGTTAACACCAAATATGTGTTCTACATTTTGGAACAAAGGACAAAATTTCATCCATTCTCTCATAATCATCATCATAGCCATCCTCATTCTTACAGCATGTTGACAAGTATAAACCTGTCAAGTGTTATTTAATTTAAGTTTATTCTTAAAACCTGTGCTGTGCTTGATATATTTTTTCAAAATATTTTTTCCACATTTTAATTTAATTTTTAATTAAACTGACAGGCATGTTTCGTTACAGTTTAAACTTCTGGCAGCAATTGCAATTGGATACAGATTACTAAAGTGGTATATATGCAATACAGTATATCCAAAATATACAATAAATAAATCAAGAGTGTCCTGTTGTGATCACGACAGGTTTACAGATCTCTTATGAGTTTTAACCTTGTGATAAGATGTGTGTTTGGGGTTTTTTTTCCAGCCGAGCCCTCAGTAGCACCTTTTAACCCTTAACTTAATAATAAGAAGAATTTGAACTGTCTGTTCCTGGCCCTTATTCATGTTTTTGGGCATTAAATTAAATGCTTGAAAGAAAATGCAGATGTTCCAGTGAAGACACTTCTTAGATAAAGGCTCCGGTGTTCTAATGAGGGCGGGATGGAATGAAAACCCGGGACCAGGATTGGGAACCGCTGGTTTAAGCAAAGATGCCATTCAGTGATGAAATGCGAAGTTTACATGAAAGAAATGAAACAACAAAATCTTAGAAGAACTAAGGCCCAGCAGCTGTGTGAACTTTGATGTGTCTCATCCCTCTGTGCAGGCTCAGGAGCCAGCTCTCCCCTGACATCTCCCTCCTCTCCAACTCCACCACCCACAGCAGGTAATACCCAGGCTGTCCTGCTTCAAACACTTGGGCTCACACTCTCAGTTAATCTGTTAGATTAGCACTACCAGGTAACAGTGCGTAACTCGAGGCTTAATTCAGGAAGTGCATTGTACAGTATGTGTTTTCCTTTTTTAATTCCAGTGTTTTTGACCATCTGTTGCTTGTGTGATGTTAACAATGACCTTAATACGCCGATTCATAACAGAACAAAGTTTCTTTTAATAGCCACAGTTAGATTATAGTATAAAAGTAATTTTACTTATATAGTATGTCTTTAGTAACATCAGGACTAATTGTTAAATTCTGAACTAGTCAGGACATGTGTAAGTAGTATGGAGTTGTTGGTTAAACAAAGTTTGATAGAATAAAGGGATCATTTGTTTAGATATTATTTTACATGCAGGGGCTACAAAATCTGCAGAACAGTTTCTAATTAATGTTTTCACAGGATGTACATTGCGACACTGCTGCTGTTAGGTGCAATAAAACAGCTATCAATTACAGTGTGTGAAAATCAAACCACAAAACAAAGCCTAAGCTCCTCTTTGAGCTCCTAACCAACTTCTTCTGTTCCTTCACCATACACACCGGGCAGCTAAGTCTCTATCGGAGACGTCTACCAGAACTCATGGTTCCACCTAGGATCCATCCATCAATTTTCGGCCAGTAGCTTCTTAGTCACTTCTTCCCCTGCTTCCTGGTTTTTAAATCACCTGACCAATTATCTTCTCCCCAGTGGTCAGGTGTGTCGTTATTAGCAGCTCATTCTTTGCAGCATACTGGGGAATGTGCTTTAGACAAAGATCTCTGTCTTGTCTGAACCTACCAAACCCTTACAATGTGGACAACTACTGTAATATGAAGTGCTGTATGCAGTATATATGTCTTTGCATGAAGGGCATCAAACTTTTGAGCTAACTGAAAGGCTTATCTAAACTCAAACCATATCATACAGAATACAGATACAGCTCTAAAGATTTAGTCCAGGTTTCCATCCATTTAGAGCTTTTCATAATATTTTGTATATAAAATAAACCATTTTTAGTTTAACAACTCAGAATTACACCACAGCAGGTCCTAATACCTTGTAAATCTGTAGGTTCCCACACTAAGCAAAACGTCCGCCTGTGTGAAATTCTTTTCATTGCGGGCATTCTTTTTTAAAATCCCTCAAATATGTATTTTGCTAACATGTATATAGAGTATACTAACAATTATTTAAAAAATAAAGGCCCCCTGATTCCTGAAATACTCTTTCAAAATTCAAGGTTTTGAATCCCATTGAATTCCCTTGATAATGGGCAACCATAACTATAAAACCATAAAATGTGCATCTTTTCCCTTTGACACCTCTATCAAACTTTGATTTCACCACAGAACTAATCTAATAGTCAACTTTGTTGTGCGTTCTGATTCTGTTCAAGCTGTAATGAACAATAACGTTTTCTTGCCTCTCTTTTCCTCCTGTGCTGTCTTCAAAGTAGAGCATGCTCCATTTTGAACATGTGTGGGGTAAAGTAATTTCATACTGATTTCTTTGCATTTTAAAGCTGCAATATCTCTGACTCAGTTACCTGTATAATGGATTGGCCCAATTTTCTTGCCTCAATCTGTTTTGAGCTCCTGTCTTTAAAAAGAGAAATGAAAACATAAAACCATGTAAATAGTGATCTATTTGCAAGTTAGAATTCTTGTTTCTAGATATTCATTACACTTCACTTCCTTTACTAATTGCTGTTCTTGACAGAGATTAGGAGATTTATGTTCTTAAAAGGAAGCATAGGGAAGTAACTGTGCATAGAATTTTTTAAAGCTTTACAAAATAATTTAAGTTAGAATATCTTTTTTAGCAGGTAAAACCATGGTAAAATATATGTACATGTAAGAGTTTAAGCAGTCCATTAATCGCTACTTTATTTGGAGTCCTGGGACATTTGGATGTGTAGCAGCAGATTGTAGAGACGGGCACATTTCAGTCAATAATTCGCAACTTTATTTGGAGTAATGGGACATTTGGATGTGTAGCAGCAGATTGTAGAGACAGGCACATTTCCATTGGAAGTATTACAATATACTGTATGCAGGTGTCTCAATTCAGTAGGTCTTATAGCTCACCCTAATTCTCCTGTTTCTAAAGATCAGGAAAATTAGGAAATTATTGATCAATTAAGAGAATAATGTGCTCAATTAAGGAACTCTGGTTCTTGGGAACTGTTCATTTATTTTCTAAATTGTTTTAAATGACTTGACAAATCACCCCTTTAGGTGATCACAGTTAAATTGTTCCAAGACTTTATAAATTGATGATTTCATGGTGGCCTGTAAAAGCTACTGGAGTGTAACTCTCCAGGAGCATGGTTAGGAAATCCAGTTGTGATGGAAGGAAACACTTGTTCATTCTGATATTTCAGAGCCTGGGTCAATATCCCCTTTCATCCCATTGACGGATTATTTTAAATGAGGAATTTATGAATTAATAAAAAAAACTGTAATGTTATAAACATGATCCTCTTGTACATTTCCCTTTCTCCATTTAAAAAGCAGGAGCCAGTTACAGTCGTACCTTCAGAAGAAACTCCAGTATTTGGCCTTAAGATATGACATGTAAACAGAATATAATACTTGTGGTCAGAAGGGATTATGCACCTTTAAAACGTGTCGCAATCAGCAAGGTGATCAACTTAAGACACACATTTGTTATGCTGGAAAGCATTATAAATCCAGTTTTAATCATTTCTGCAATATTTTGAAATACCCAATTGAAGACATACACGAGAAGGATATAACATCTCACAAGTGCCTTAATGGTGTGTTCTCAGGTTTGTGATCACATTGTGTTGTCTGTGACACCTGAATGGTTTTTGTTCAGGGGGGTTTGCAAAAAGGAAAGATTTTCCCTTTACCATATTATTAGCTTTTAGCTTTATTTAAATTTGGTACTATTGTCTTATGTACTAGGATTGAGAAACCAAGGTTTGTTTGCCATTTATCCTTGTTGATTTGTCCAGGAAAAGGCAGTAACAGCAGATAAAGGTCCTAATAGTATATTAAGAATTTACTAATTTAAGTTCCCAGGCATCTGATTTTAGAAATACGTGAAACAGCTGGGTGTAGGTGTGCGATTTTATACAGTCTAATCTTTCCTGTTTAATTTCTCTGTAATAGTTGGCTGATGGATTGCAATCTACAGCTGTTTCTGCTGAAATTTCTGTTTCGGTGAAACCCCTGTTAGGCATATTTCAGTGTACAGTCGTCCACCCAGGCACTGCCCGCTTTCAAGGAACAGTTAACAGTAGTTTTACATTAAAGTATGTTAATATATATATGAGTATTATTCACTAATAAGTAAGAAATAAGGTCTGGGAATATGAAACAGGATGAAGGGAAGTGACTTGGATTTAGCACTTCCATCCATGAGATTCTACAAGAAGAAAGAAACAAGGATAAATGGCTCTATCATTCCTCAATATTTACTCATTCCCATTTTGATTTTTAAAAGCATGAAAAAGCACACCTGTTTTTGCTAACCCCCTACAATGATATTATACTGTGTTTCTTATTCAATGCTCATTGATTGATTTGCATTTTTTTATTTCATCACTATTAATAAAAACTATTCATAAAAAATGAATAAAAACTTATGTCGAGATCAGGTTGATTAAAAAAGGTACCTCATCTTTATTTTTCAATGACCCTGACACAGTCTCCGCCTTTGAGTGACAGTGCCCTTTTTAGACCTGAACGAAAAGTAAATCATTCCGTAACACGGGTTTTTCATTCAAGCCTCTCTTCCGTATGTTCCGCATTGTAATGCTTGCTTCTCCGATTTAAACAGGAGTGCCGCCAGCACCCCCTCCCCCTCCTCCTCCTCCTCCTCCTCCACTGAATGAGCCAGGCCTGTGCCAGTCACCCCTCTTGCCTGTGAGTGACCCAGGCCGGGGGGCCCTGCTGGGCTCCATTCAGAACTTCGCCAAAGGAAGACTGAGGAAAGCCGAAATCAAAGACCGCAGTAACCCCCTCATCTGACAGGCTTACACACTGCCCATGTGGTTCTCACTCTGCTGTCTTGCGTTTCTCTCTTCTGGTAACTGTTGTTCTGTTGACCACTTTTTCCTAGTTTTTTTTTTTGTAAAGAGTGTAATTACAAAACGTTACTTTTGATCAACTTGAATACACTTGTGCCACCGGGGGAAGTTAGGTTACACTTGGGGAGACGTTAAGGAACACTAGCCCGTCGACTGTACTTTACTGTGTGGTTTAGCTGGAGCGCTTTGTGTATGTGCAGCTTCCAGCGAGAGTGCTTGAGAATGTGGCCGTTTGGGAGTACTTGAAGCAGTGGATGTCTATACAAGCGCTCAGCCAAGGTATAGCTGCAAATTAAAAAGGGCGAAACTGAAGTCTCTGTGCTCAGTCACATTGAATTTTATTAACCCCTGTTCCGTTTTTTCCTCATCATTGAATTTCTAAGAAAGCCGATGTCCTAAGTACACGTATGTTTTATATCAGACATCCCGTATCACCTCTGAAGGCACTGAGCCCCTTTTCTTTGCCCTGACAGTGATTTATGCTAAAGGAGAATGGCTTGTTTTTCACTGTTACATTTCATTCTTCTCACAAAGGAAAGAAGGCTGCATATGTAAAGGGTTCCTGGGTTCTGCCAGAGCCGTGTCAGGCTGAGTGCCAGTTTGTATTGCCACCATGAGAAAAATTAGTGTACCTATTTCTGGATTTAATTCTGGCTTCTCTTGGTGAAGTGTGATAAATGCATCTTTAAAGATCTCAGCTCAAAGGATAGGTCAGAAAAAGAAAGGCCCATTGGGATGATCCGGCACATATATGTGTAATTGGAGTCATTTTCAGCACTTCTGTGTTTTATTGATGTAACCTGGTCACTTCCATGTATACACATTCAGATAAGCAAAACCCTATGTTGTACTAAAATAATTTTAAATACATGAACACAGCATGTCCTCTTTAAAATGTAAATTAATTAAAAAAAACAACACAAACAGGCCTTGTCAACACCTTAGTGAAAAATGAATTTAAACTGCTGTTGTTCATCCCTTATTTTCACTGCTGTACCAAGGGGCTTTTAAAACCAACACTTTAAAATATAGGAAATGAAGGGTCCCAGAGGAGTAGAGTTTGAACTGAACTAGCACAATCCCATACTCTTCTGTTGTCTCCTTACAGACAATTGAGTACCAGTAGAATCCAATCTTTCACACCACCTTTTCAAATATATTATACACTGCTGACAGACACTCACATGTCAAAAGCAGTCTGCTGCTTTTTAGATCAAGATTGTTTTTTTTTTATTTATTGCAACCTGGTTTTGTTAAATTATTGAATGCTTGCATATACATGTTGCATATTCCGTGTTTTAATTCATATGATACAAGGCAAAGATGCTTTGTTTACCAATTAAAAATGTTTGGTTTTTCCCATGGGAAGTTCATTTTTTAGAAAATTGGAAGGTGTCTTAATATCTGCCTCGTTGTGATTATAGTAATCATATTGAAAAACTGTGCAACAAGAACATCATTCATTTTAGATTCAGTTATAGCATGTTTCACAAAATGTATGTCCAATACAAAAATGGAAAAGCTTAATACTTTTTCACCAACTTAGCTGTTCTTGATTTTAATTTCAGCATGTTGTTTAGCTACTTCCACCATTATTGCTTTTCCTGGCTCTTTTACTCGAATAAATAGAAAGCATCTGTGATTGGTTTTGACAGATTAACAGGTGTTATTTTCTGGTTTGATTGATGATCCGTGTGTTCAAAGAAAATAAATGAACAAATTCAAAATCTCATTAAGAGTCTTGCCATGTAGAGGCAATTAGGGGCAGGTAACCAAACTCCAAATGACCTGTCTAATCTACGTCTGACAATTTGGCATTGTGCATCATGCAAGCAGGCATGAATGATCATGCAGGAGACTGACATTTATATCACCAATAGACGTACTTTGCTAAAAATGGACATTTACAGTTTTGAGGTTGGTCTATTCAGTGACTGTACTCTACAATTCATGAATCTAGCCATTTGGTCCATGCATTTTAAGACAGATTATATTGTACTTTATGTCCGAAAAGCAGAGATCATCATTGCTTCAAGTACATGTACTGTGTGAGTGCAGAGCTACAGTATCTAGTTGCAGGCCAGTATACACATGCTCTGTTTTGGTGTAATGAGGTAGTAAAATTTAGAGCTCTGTTGTAATATGTTAATGATTTAATTTGCGGACTACTTTCATGCTTGTGTTGTGCATCTGAAAGCATAACTCCCTAGTGTTTTGTACTTGCAAGAGAGCAAGTGAATGATTCAATTTTGACACAAAAAGTAAAGCCTTAGACTTATAAAGAGATGCCCGCAAGTGTTAGTTCTGGGATTTCCATTCATTGGCATCATTGGGAAGCCTTAAAAAATGCATGTTAGTCTTGATATTTTTCTGACCTACTGTATAAGCAACTTATTCTTTTTTAATTGATTTTTTTATATTTTGCTTTGGAGTTGGGCACCTGGCAAAACAAGCCATTCTCTTACAGCATACATTTGGACTGTGGTTCAGTTTAGAGTTCACCTTCTAACTTTTCTTGGGGAAATGTAACAAAGTGCATAAAAATGCCATTTTTGCAAACCTTTTTGTGATGTATTTTTTGTCACAAGTGCTTAAGATATTTTTCTTCCTTAGAATTAAACATTTTATCTATAATTATATAGAGATTATCATTGTGATGTATATATGTACAAATCTTTCATGTACCTGTGGAAAAAAAATCTGTCAGACTATTTTATTAAAATAATGGATGAACCTTCTTTGCCTTGTTTTTTGTATAAGCCTCATAACACACACTAGAGAAAAAAAAGAAACTGCAAACGAGAATTAATCAAGAAGAGGTACATGAATGCCAAATTTCTTCACTGTCACAGTAATTATATGAAACATCTTAAGTATAATTAGTGTAAATACAGTATATCGCATGATTTGGACTTATGAACTACTCTTAATATGAAATGAAGTTGAACTCTACTTCATTTTGGAAAACAGATGTTTTCCAAAGTAAAATTCTGTTAACAATTATATTAATTTATAGCAAAAGATACACTAATAATAATTCCTTACACTTATATAGCACTTTTCTGGACACTCCACTCAAAGCGCATTACAGGTAATGGGGACTCCCCTCCACCACCACCCACCTGGATGATGCGACAGCAGTCATAGTGTGCCAGAACGCTCACCACACACCAGCTCTCAGTGGGGAGGAGAACAGAGTGATGAAGCCAATTCATAGATGGGGATTATTAGGAGGCCGTGATTGGTAAAGGCCAATGGCCAATTAGCTTTCCCAGGAGGTGTCCCATCCAGATACTTCAGTGGGTTGCCAGTTGTGCATTGTAGGGTGATATAGCTGCTCGCCAAATGTGGTGCAATGTTTGTTTGTTGTTTCAGGATTAAGACAAGTTCACCTATTATTCAATACTATACTAATCTACTTTCAGTTCTGACAGTTCTGTGACCCACTTCCCACAAGGCAATCTATATATGCAGTAACCTGTGTTACTACATTAGGAGCATCACAGAGGCTGGCCTTGGAACTATTGTGTCTTGAAATTTAAGTGCTGTTGGTTACATGCAGTGTCATATACTTCACTGCAAAATAACAGCTGAAACCAAATACTGCATAAATTCTGTGGCCAATGAAATTGCAAGCAGGTGGATGAGTTAGGCAATCATTAATACAACTAAGCTGATTAAAGTCTGGGTTAATTAAGAGATAAGGTAAGATAAGACAAGACTTTATTGATCCCGTAGGGAAATTGATGATTACCTTTAAAATAAAAAAGACTGTACTATTTTTCAAACATTTGTGCAACATTTTATGGACACCTGTTTGGTAGCCTATTTGTATCATGCCACAAAATGTAATTGCACACTGTGCAAATACTTTGTATTTTAAACATAGATATAGAGTATTATTACAGGTTAAAGTAATATTATGCATAGATCAATTGTTGTCTCAAGCAACGCAGGGAGAAGAAATGTATTGCTCCCGAAACCGAACCAGCCAGCCTTAATTAAAACAGTGGCTCACATTGTCCTTGGAATGAATTCAATCTTTTGCTGTCACAAATTGAGACTTCCGCTTCCTTTACCGAAAGAAGGGCAGTGATTGGTTCTCTGATTTTCCTCTCTTCCAATTGACGCCAGTATCGCGCTCTGTTATTGGTTTAAAAGAGGGATCCAGGGGGCGGTGTTGAAGTTAGAGGACAGGTTCAAGATGGCGTTGTTTAGGAGCTTGGTTCAGTCTGGCAGGGTAAGGGCTTCTCTAAGGTTTTGTTATGGCTATTTGGTTATTTGAGTCGTTGCTTCAACTTGCGGTGTGTTTTTGTTTTCTCTGCCCTCAATAGAGCGTAGTCTCTGTGACACTGAGGAGGGAGTTTCACAGGACATCGCCGGCTTCTTTGCAGGTACTTTTCTACTTTATCCAAAGCCGCAGGAATGACGGGAGAAGGTTAATTCACCCAGTATATTCTATGCTTCCCCACTTCTGGTTGAAGCTAAGCTAACCTACATTTTGTAATGCAGGTTTACGCCTTTTGACAGGTTTTCTTGTGCGCTGTCACGGATAACTTTGACATTGTGAGGGACCTCTGAATTTGTGGGTGGTACCTTTCCGTTTTGTCTTGTGAGTAGGCGATAGGCTGCTTCAGTACGAGGAATCTAGAAACGCTTAATGTAGTAGTACGTAAGCCGGTAATTGAGGAATTCGAATGCCAGACGAGTACCAACTATGTATTGTACCATAAATAGCGTCTTCAATATGCAGTGTTAGTTGTGTTTAACATGCTTAATTCAAGCCTTCTGATGCCACTCGCTGTTTTGAGCAGATGAGTGCTAGCTTAGTTGCTTGTAACTTTTTTTGGGGGGGTTCATTTGATTTTCCTAAAGCATTAAGTAGGGTAAGAGGCTCAACTCTTTTTGTTGGCCTAAGGTTTTGTGATTTCCCCAGTTAAGCAATGTCCAATTATAGAACTAGTTGACCTGGTTTTCATTTTACATCTGAGCTTTGCCTTTTCTAGATGTCAATCTTGAGGCAGCTAATATTGGCTTTACAAATCAATATCCCCCTTGGTTCTGGTGTCTTTTGCATTATCCACTGTGTGCAGTGCTAAACATCTAGCAAATGCCTAATGCTGTTAAACGAAACCAGAGGCTGCTCTGGGTACACATTTCAGTATAAAATCCCAATGTTCCAAAAGTTTTGGTATGGTGGCTATCTTGTGTGCATGTACTTTGAATGCACCTTCCCTGCAAGGCAGGATTGAGGTCCCTTCAAGAGGATACAGATGTGTGTATGAAGATCTGCCACCAACTGGGCCAAATGGTCTCCTTGTTTGTAGGCAGAAATACTTTGCTTACTTTCTGACAAGTGACTATCTTAATTTGGCAAACTTCTTTGCTTTTTAACTTGTAAGTAGAACCTTAACTTGGGTTTGAGGTCTTTTAAGTTAAATTGGTATCTGGGACTTTCCTGTTGCATCATCTCAACCTAAGTAACCCTTTACCTTCAAGGTGACTGTTCGTGATGCTTTGAACCAAGCAATGGATGAAGAGCTGGAGAGGGATGAACGTGTGTTTCTGCTTGGTGAGGAAGTAGCACAGTATGATGGCGCTTATAAGGTAGGCTAACATCCAGAACCAGTTTGTGGAAATACATTTTGTAAAGGACTTGTGCCACATGGGTGTTGGACTTAATTGCCATTGTTACTGATTTTTTTTTTTTATAGGTTAGCAGAGGACTGTGGAAGAAATATGGGGACAAACGTATAATTGACACTCCCATTACTGAGGTGAGCATTCTCTTCTTAAATGCTGATGGGGATTTTCTTAACCAGTTGCTGTTCATTATGATAATGTGGCATGTTACTGTCTTCTAGATGGGTTTTGCTGGCATTGCAGTTGGTGCTGCTATGGTGAGTTGACTTCTTTTCGTTAGAAGTCCATATGACTTAAGTATTGCTGTCATGTCTCTCTCCAACCTCCCTCATGCCTTGCTAGCCATGAACCCCTTGTCAACTTCAATTTTCTAAATGAAGAACAAATGGTATCCTTAATGTTGCATTCTGTAAAACATTTGCATCCATCTGTACCTCTACAATCTGAATGTTGGCCAATGACCTGTGTCTGATTTACTATCACTAGCCACATGTCTGTGAACAGCTTTGGCTGTCTGACCTTGGTGTTGAGGAAATGTGACAACTGGTATAAAACTGTCAAATGTTGACATGATGCTAATTTATTGATTTCTTTCCAGGCTGGCTTGAGGCCTATTTGTGAGTTCATGACCTTCAACTTCTCAATGCAAGCCATTGATCAAGTTATAAACTCGGCTGCCAAAACCTACTACATGTCTTCTGGTATACAGCCTGTCTCCATTGTGTTCCGTGGACCTAATGGAGCTGCTGCTGGGGTGGCAGCCCAGCATTCCCAGTGTTTTGCAGCTTGGTATGGGCACTGCCCTGGTCTGAAGGTGCTCAGCCCTTGGAATGCTGAGGATGCCAAGGGTCTGCTGAAATCGGCTATTCGAGATGATAATCCAGGTACTGTAGCTCTAGGGCATTAATGTTTTGTCCTCTTTACTCCCTCATTGGGCAGACTTTTTTTTTTAGGACTTTAATACTATGTTAACATGCTGTAAAAAAGCAGTTTGGTTTATACTCTTCAGCATTTGATATTAAGGTGATTTTTTTTTAGACTTATTTCAAAATGAAACTGTTAAAGTTGGCTAAGGAAATCTAAATCTCATTATGATAATCGGGATTGGTGGTTTATAGACCCCACCCTGAACTACATACAATGAGGGAAGGAATAGTCAATTTTAAGTGGCCTACAGAAAAATCAAAGTACTGATCTTTACAACTCCCAAAGGTCTGCCTGCCTCAAGCGCATAGATGTGGAATTTAAAATTGTGCCTTTCCTCTCCGTCAGTGGTGTTCTTGGAAAATGAGATGATGTATAGTGTACCGTTTGAGATGTCTGAAGAAGCCCAGTCCAAGGACTTCCTCATACCCATTGGAAAGGCTAAAATAGAAAGACAAGGTGGGTGCAAATGAAAACCCTAATTCTTGCTCTATAGGGGGATTTTAAAATCCATCTCCAGGTGGAGGGATAGTCTTGTAGTTGGAGAACATTCAACTTTAATACAAATTGAACTGTAATATGGGTTAAAATGTATGGAGCAACCTGGTTAGCAGAAGCTCCAGGGTTTGAGTTGGAGGTTCTCAATCCTGGTCTTGGAGAACTATGGTCCCAAGACTCTTCAGTAAAATCTAAAACTGGTCTAATTGCATGTTCTAAAGTTTAATAGAATTGGCAGTCCTGTGTTCCTTACCCAGGGTTTGAAGATTGTTTGGTAGACTGAATTAATCTAGTTTTTTTTTTTTCCCCTCAGGATCCAACGTTACACTAGTTTCACACTCTCGGTATGTGGGTCATTGTTTGGAAGCTGCAGCTGTTTTGGCAAAAGAAGGTATTGAGTGTGAGGTAAGCTGTCCATGCTTTGACTACATGAAAGCCAGTAAGGTCTTAACTGCATACACTCTAGACTTGGTGTTCTACAAACATCTCCTGCCATTTCAAGGTCTCCTCTGTGAAATGTGGAACTCAAGTTAGTGGTGGATTTAAAGATCTACTTAATTCCAAATTTCATGTTGCCCTCTTAAGCCTAGGGAAGATGTGGCCATTGCTGAACCCTAGTCCTCAGCTGTGATATGCTCATGGAGTTAAAGATGGTCTTGGTGTCTGCCTCTTGTAAGGCATGGTGGTGCTTTGACCAGTGGGTATGAAAAGAGCAGATGTACAGGTGTTGTAGCAAAGTGTCTCCAGCCCCCTCCCTGCCCCAAAAAGGGATCTTGGTGGGGAGCAATTACTGAAGCTACATGTTAAGAGAACAGTAAGTGATCTACTGTAATGGTCTCTCCAGGTCATTAACCTTCGCAGCATTAGACCTCTGGATATGGAGACTGTTGAAAACAGTGTGAAGAAGACCAGCCATCTAGTGACTGTAGAGGGGGGATGGCCACAGTTTGGAGTGGGAGCTGAAGTTTGTGCCAGGATCATGGAAGGTAACTTGCTCATGCATTCCTACAATGCAAAACATGGTGTGGATGTTTCATTTCTCTATAGGGATCTTAAAAGTAGCATGTGTTTTTTTTTTTTTTGACCACTCTAAATGTGGGGCTACATGTCCTGAGTAAACCCAGAACTGCAGTTTGTGTATTTCTGTGAGGAAATTGAGCCACCCTTTATCCTAGAAGGGAGTCACTTGGCAAGAATTAGCATGTTGTAGCTTTTTAGTTGCAAACAAAATAATTGGGTATGGCCATTGTGCCAGATGTACACTCCAGATGAAGGCAAGTTTAGACTCTCTCCCCTGGCTAATGTCTGAAACAAGTTGCCAAATTTCTTTTTGGAAGCATGAATGAATCTTTTGCCATTTCGCCATCCTAAAGATGTTTCCACCTTGGATCCAATGTGATCAAACTTAATTCCAAAGTGTCAATGCTGCATTTAGTGGCAACTGCAGCCACCTGGGTCTCCCATAGAAGCATATGGGTGGCTTGGTGAGGGGAACGGCCCTCAATTTAGGGGTTTTGAAGTTGGGGAGTTGGTACCATGGAATTTATTTCAAGCAGAGTTGCAGTTTTACTTGGGCTTTGAAGATCTTGAAGATGAGTCCAGCATTGTGCAGCCATGTTAGCTCCAACTTAATCAAAGCTGCCAACTGTACAGTTCTGTATAATTGAATATGCTCAACTTTTTTCCCCTTTAGGTCCAGCCTTCAACTACTTGGATGCTCCTGCCAGCCGAGTAACAGGGGTAGACATCCCCATGCCCTATGCCAAGATCTTGGAGGACCACAGTGTACCTCAGATAAAGGACATAATATTTGCAGTGAAAAAGACCCTGAATGTCTAAGTACAGTGACAGACTTCATCTTTGCATTGTTTTGGTGACACTAGCACTTAGTACATCTTGTTCTTCTGTTCTTTCAAAAAGAACATCTTGTAATATGCAGAAAGGACAGTTTTAAACAGTCCTGGTATGTCCTTTTGTATGGATTCAATCTGTACTCTTGCTTCTGTGCCATTTTGGGTTCAAAACCTGGAGTCTTCAGTGTTTTCTTGCACCATATCTATCTTTTTCTCCTTAAACTATTTAAGCGCACAGGTTAAAGGTGTGGTGCTGGCAAACTAAAATCTTGAACAATATGGGGAAAAATCAAATTAAAAGATGTTAATGCTCCACATGGCTTCCTTTTGTTTTATTAAGTGGGTCCAGTGATACTAGAGAACAAGGTCTAGAGTATGTTTGTTCTGAAAATGCTTCAAGGTGTGCCTTGGGGTGGGGGGTACTTTCAACAAGTTATTTCACCACTATTGTGAAGCTTTAATTACAAAGGCAAATGTCACAATTTACAGCTAGAACTTGACAAAGCATAATGTTAAAATGTGGCCATGTGCAATAGAAACTGTCCTTTTGTTGGGGGGGCAATTTTCATTTTGGGTCCAAGTTCCTGGAAGGTATTGGCTCTGCACAAATGAGGCAATAAAGGTGTTTTAGCCTGCAGCATGTGTACATGTTCAAGCAGGCACCAGTGCATGTTGCTTAACTTGGATTTTAAAAGTAATCCAAGTTCTACAGACTTCTTGTAATTGGTGAAATACTAGGAGATGAAGTACTTGTTAAGGTTATGTTGGCTGGTTTAACCTCCGTACTTGTGGCTCTGAAAGCCGTGTGAATGGGTACTTCATTCTCATACCAGAGTGGTGCAAGATTTAACAATATACAGGTATGCCCCTGAACAAGCAACACTTCACTAATTATCTTCTTGGCAGGTGTAATAGTAATCCTTCTGCCATGGTTTGAGAGACCTCTAAAGGTTTAAATGAACTGTATTCACAGGTGGCTGTCAATTCTATTTAGCTTAATATACTTACATGTTCAAGTATGAAAGTGCTGTTACTTTCACTTTAAAGCCTTATATTGTGTCCAGACTACAAGTGATCTTTCCATTGGAGTCCTTTTTTAATAAAGCACCCAACTACTCTATGTATTTGTTGTACAAAGGTGCAGTGAGACCAACTATATGCTATTGTATTGCCTTTTCAGAAAAAGGCAGCATTGGGCAAAACGTCATGAAATGCCCAATGAGTGTTATAAAGTTGCATGTATATTTTAAGCTGATCTTGGAAAATGTGGCAGGAAGACAAATAGACTGAAATGACACCTGAGAAATAGTCCCACCTTGGCTATCATTAAAAGTGGATCTTTGGGCCCCAAGAGAGAAAGGATTGAATGAAGGTTGTTGTGAACCATTTCAGTTTTTAATAAGATGGCAAGTGGAAACTTTTCCACCACGACCAGTAGCTTAAATCATAATGGGGAGATACAACATCCTACCTCCCCCCTATCAATCCCAAAGTAAATTCCTCTGACGTTTTCCCGGTAATGTTAACGGTTGCTTAGCTGCTGTGCTGATGAGCTCATTCTGCCTCCTACACAATTTCAGATGAAAGCAGGAATAGACTAAAGGGTATGGAGACAAGCTACATTACGAATTCAACGCTTTTTTTTTCCCACAAATCATGCTAATGAAAAATAGTACTTTTGTTAATGCATAGGAAATAAAAAGCGAAATTTGTTTACTGCTTTTTTTTTGTTAAACACGTTTAGCCTCCAACGCTCCTACTTAAATGTGCATTTTCATCGGAACTTCTCCGTAGCCTATCAAGTGGAAGAATATTAGTGGTGACGTGCTGCACAATAACAGACACCACGTTTCCGGTTCCTTCCGTACCTTAGATGTTACTTGGCGAAATAGAGAACGCTAAACGCATTCCTCCGAAAGCGCTTCGAATGTGCTTGGATTTTCTCTTTTTTATGAGCAACACTTCCTGAGCTCCCTCTGGAAGCAGAAGAATACCCGATAAAAGACGTAGAGAAAGTAATTGCTCGTCCCTCTTCTGTTGCTGCAGTGGAACAGGCGGAGTAACACTGCTTCATTCAGGCTTCCAAGTCCAACTTCGCGGAAATCGGTGCAAAGTGTCGTTTCCCTTATTTTGGGAGGACAAATATCACGGGTCAACAAACGGGTAAGGATGGAAACGCGGCTCTGCGTGAACGTTTCGCCTGTTTAATTGACACAGCGTGAGATAAAAAGATCCCCTTGCTTAATGACTTAATGATTTGCTTTGCAGCTGTCCCTGCGGAGGTTACGTTGCATCGGCATCTTTACAGTTTTCAAAAGTAGTCTGCAGAGCAAAACCAAACCAATACAGTATCCACTATTACATTGCATTATGCGATTAAACGATCATTCTTATATGTCCAGATCCGTGGATCATTTATTATCCATGTCGTGTCACATCCAGTATAGCGAATACCCTTAGCTGTAAATGTGCATTGTCAAACCTTCAGACAACTTTCACCATGTCCGCGCTTAATAATTATTCATGCAATATTCCAGTTTCACTTTTGCATGGCAGGGCGACATGGCGATAGATTCCAAACCCATTCTCCTATTTTAATGTCCTATAATATTTTGCGCGTTTGCCTACACGTTGCAGGTAATGTCTGTTAACGGGATAACAAAACAGACGATCGTCTGTATGTGAATCATCCATTCCATTTAACCTATGCATGAATACTCGAGAGGGATAAAAAAATCCGTTAAGAATCAACTTTAGTCGAATAATTACGTTTTTCGCTGGTGCAGGCGAACAGCACAAAGACGGAGGCATTACACGGGGGAAACCAAAAATATTCAGCCCGACATCTCCGTCCCTGGGGAAGGAGCCAAGCGTTGGAGCAGATGGATAATGGAGACTGGGGGTACATGGTGAGTGAGTGATTAATTCTGAATGTTCCCCTTATGGTTAAGTGTGAAAATTATATTAAAGTCCACCATGACTAGAACTGGAGTCAATCCTGATTTCTAGTGTAAACAGAGGGCACGTTCACTGGATGGATACAGGTTAGCTTCCCAGAAGAGTATGTTGTGCAAGGGTGCAAGTACCTGCAACGGGACTTTGAATGCAAGCTCCATGTTGGCTGCCCTTAAGGATAAAGGAGAATTTATACCACAGAGTATGGCTCCATTGGAGGCTCACTAGCATTCAGTTTGCCATTTCTGGTGTCCTCTGTGTTACTTTTTCAGAAAATAAATCTTTTTAAAACAGAAGAAACCAAGTCCAACACAGCTATATTTCTTAAAAAAGAAGGCTGCAATTGCAGAGTGACATGATGGAGATATTATAAAGCTTTCATTTTTTTGCACAGCAACAGACTGGTCTGATGGGGCTTGGATTGATTTCTGAATTTGCCCTTTAAGCACCGATTTTTTTAAAACGTATTTTGAGCACTGACCAGGCTGAACTGTGTGGACTTTGGTGCTGCTCTTTCTTCTCCGTTCTGCTTTGACTTTTCAGGGCCGGTGAACGGCTTTTAAAACCCCAGATCAGAGAGTCTAGTCAGTGCCTTTGATGTATGCAAATCTGTTACTTATCAGACCTTAAAGCTAATAAAGCTCTTCATTACAGTATGCCTCAGGGCTTACCTGTAGCTTCATGGCCAGAAAGGCTAAAACAATCTTTGTAGACTATTGACCTGTAACGCAACAAAGCGAAGGAAAGCAGTGTTGTGAAAGTAAATGATCCAGTGTTTTGTAGCACAAACGCCTACTTTGGGAACTTAAGTCCTATTGTATTGAATTTCACCTTGATTATTAATGTCATTCCTTCTGTTAAACAATTGTATTTGGATTCATGACTATTCCGTATGGTGAAGTCCTTGCTTTGCCATCTTAGTGTCTGGATATTCAAGTACTCATGCTTGAGTTACATTTTTAGCAAAGGAATCATTCACACTTTTTATTGTGACAGTTTATATGGCAATTCGCCCTTTTGGTCAGTTGGTAATACTGATTATATTTCTAAGAGACATTTTAGACTGATTATTAATTATTATTTATGGGCATGATAGATCACCCAGACTGCTTCAACAAACTCACCTGCATAATTGTAAGGGTATCCAATGTTCATATGCAGCAATGCTAGATAATTGATGGTTAAAAACGTATGCCATGTAAATTAATACAATTAATTTCTCATTTTCTCCACCTGGCTTCTAAAACATAATTGCCTCTATGGGTCATCTGGGTGAGTGTTACACTGAAGAGGTGGATGGAGATATAATATACTGTATATGTTTTTCATTAGTATTATATATAGATGTAGCGAAATGGTAGAAACATATTATACCTGAGAAGTTTTGGTTTAGAGCCTATGCAATAAATCGACGATCCTTCCTTGCGTCTGTGAGAGGGTTTGAATTGTTGTGCAGTCATCCCCGGTGAACAACTGGATGTGAGGACGATCTAAAGACGCTGTTTTGTTAACCGGGAAAAATATTGGTAGCAAATGCATATTGCCAATTTGAAAAAGGTACTTCCAAGGCTTCTCACAGTCTATGCTTAAATTTGTGTTTTTAAAAGGAATTATTTTATTTTTTTGTGTGCGCTCCAGGACAAAAAGTCCTGGTCTTCCCCTGGTGTTTTCGCTGATCTTAGTGGTGCTGGTGTTGTGGGTTATCGCTGGGTTCTTTTCTTGTAGTCATCACAGCTGACTAACCCAAACCTTATAAAACAGTCTCGCTGAAGGCACGGCAGGGCTTTGGTCCAGAATCATGCTGCCATAGCATGTCCATTCCTTTGAGAAATCGTTCAATGTAAACTCGCATGTGGACAAATAAATAGAGTGAATTCTGGCTCACAAACAGTTTTGTACTTGAACATCTCTGCTGGCGTGTGCTGGAATTTTTTGTTATGAACAAATTAACCGTGTTTCAGTGTTAATTATTCCATGTGGGCGTTCTAATCTTTCTACTCATTTACAGTGTGTTAAATCATAATATATTGCTTTGCAATTGTAGAGATTTTTTTTTTAGTAGACATTAAAAAATAGCAATTCCTGATGGTTCAAATACTTCTAAAATTAATAGTGTCTCTGATGTCTAGTTAATCTACAGTGTAGTCCAGATTGATTGAAGGAAACATAATTCTTCTGCACAGCAATGTTTTCTGCTCTGAGTAATTTCCAGAGTTGTGTGAGGGAATAAAATAGACTTCTGCTGTACTCATTTAGTTTGGATGTTCAGCCCTCTGGTGTTTTGGCACTTGTGCAAACAACAGTGCTCATTCTCCAGATGTAGCTGTAGGGTCTGAGCATGATTGCAGCTGTGTAACTTGAGTGGCTGCCTTGTTCTGATGTGGCTTTAACAAAAAAAATGGCTTTCCCAAAAAACATTGCTGTTTATATTTAGAAACCCAGATTAAGAGCAGTAAATTGCTACTTTATAATATGTAACACTGTATGTCAATGATGCGCCGTGGAGTATATTTGAAAAGCTAAATACAGGGCTCGGCTGAAAATATGCAAGTCGTGGGAGAGCCAGACAGTCTGTGGGCCAGTTGGTCCAGGTGGGTGTGAAGATACAGAGCTCTCTTTTGTAGAAAATTAGACACTACTTGGGCAAGACAGCCTCAGATCAGAACCATAAATAGCTGACACCTATGACCTTTCTTACACTGAAATCAGCATGAGGAGGTAACCATGGCTGCTGTATCACAGCGCTGGGGTCCTGCGTTCAATTCCTGGGGTGCTATCTGCGTGAAGTTTGTGGGTTTTTCCCATGTTCTTGTGGTTTTTCCACCCTCAATCCATAAACCCAACCTGGTAGGTCGATTCTGGCAGAACTGGCCCTGGTGCGAGTTTGTCTGTGCCCTGCGATGCACTTGTACCCCGTCCAGGGTGTGCCCTGCCCTGCGCCCACTGCTTGCTGGGATAGGCTCTGGCTTCCCCGCCACCTTGTGTTGGGGGAAAAAGGGCTCAGAAAGTGGAAGGATGGAGGTAATGTAAGTTGCAGACTGCTCAACAGAAGTATGGAGACACTCTGTGTCTGGAATACTGCCTGTGGCCGCTTTGAAGGGAAGGGCAAGACTGACAGCAACAGACTTAGCGACGGGGACAATCTGAAGGGTCAAATGTAAGGGGACACCCGGGAGGGAGGAGCCAGAATGACAGCACATAAAACGGCTTTAGGACCGCTTTTTCAAATGGGCCGAGGTCTGACAGTGCTGTAGGCTGTGCTCAGCTCAGTCTGGGAGGTCATTATTGGCCATTATAACCAAATGCGGACCAACACCTGAAGAAAAGGGTAAAAATCTTAGCAGCAGTGTTCTAACAGTTTTTACGCACTGGAGTGTCCCGTGAGCTCAAATGTCAATGTATTTGGGGGTAAATGTGTTATGTGAATGTCTGTCTTGCAGCTTGTTATTATTTCATTTACAGTGGCATAACAGCATTTCCACTTCCTCATCACAATGTAGACAGGAGCTAGCTATTCGAATTCAGTAATTGATTCCAGTAAATGATTCAGTAATTAAATGCAGTAGTTTTTGCCCAGATCCTACATTTGTTTTGTATTCTGCTTATAGAAGGTCATATTTTATACAATGCCACAGAATACCATATTTAGAGAATAATTACTGAAACAAGGGTTAATCATTGGCAAAACTAAATAGGAAATAAGATGTTATGTAAGATTGGTAGTCTGTAATTGGTAGTTTTCCTTCTACCAAGTGGATATTGCATGTAGTTTGAGAGACAAGATTATATTTTTATGAACATCCTAGAGGATATATGGACCATGTAAGTGTTTAACCTGTTTGTTACTGTCATTTGCGGGGTTAACATACAATGTTTATTTATAAAACACTCTGAAGTTGAGGCAAAAATAAATTATTGATAAATAATTAATAGTAAATGATAATGGTAAGATGACAAGTCTCATTTCTGAACACACCAGTTCAAATCTGTTATCCATTAATTCTTTAAAGTGGAATGATAGAAGAAAACGAATTAAATAGCAACAAGATATCACATTTTGTTATTTACCTACTCTAGGGCATATTTTGTTCACAGCTGGGGATGTGATAATGTATACATTACAGAGACTTTAAAACAGGCAAAGCATGCATTTGTCATGTATCCAGAGTTTATTATTGTTGTTGTCTGATATAATTTAGGAATTTTTGGAAAGTTAAATCAATAAAGCCTTCTTTATTCAGAAAAATATGTTCTTGATACACAGCCCTGAAATCCTCCTACTTCATTAATACAAGGGCCAAGTGTGTTTTAGTGAGTTTGACAGTTTATAAATGCTTAAAATGTACTGTATTTAATTCAGCTCAAGTCTCCAAGTTCCTCCTTCTGTTCTCTGGACACTGAATCATTTTCTGTGTTGACTGGCATTGCTCAATGATTCGTCTCACTGAGCCGAAGGACTTGGAGAATCAAATAAATGATTCATCCAGGGACTTGTTGTTAGTGGGATTCACTGAAACGATTCGTTCAAAAAGAAGGAATCGATCACAAACTGCCATGCTGGTTTTCCAGCATGATCCATGGATAATTGAAGCTGTTACTTAATTCACACAAATATTCCTGTTTGCATCCTCTAAAATTTACACTATATTTAAAGGGTTCTTTGGCTTCTGTTTGACTTGCAGTTCTCAATGAAAGTCTCTCCGTCATGATCGATTTCCTCACCTTACTGGGCAGTTGTTACACAGGTTTTAGGCATTGTCTTTTCATTGCATTCTTTAGTCTTGATAATGGCTTGCTCACACATCAGGATTGCTGTAAGCTCTTAACGTTTTAGCCTCTTCAGTAGGCCACAGGTTTGAATCGGAGTCCTGGCAATCTCCAAAGTATGTGTATATTTCCTGACTGCTAGAAAAGGTTTTGTTTTCCTTTGGTTAATACTGTGCTAATGATAGCAATCAAAACATTTTCATATAAACATCCCATTATTAAAAAACTGTATTTGCTGATTATGTAAGATTGATTTTTTTTGCAATATTTTGCCTTTTCGTTTCAGATGTTTGATTTAGTTTAATGGTATTTTATAAATTAGCAAAAATCTCAGGGCTCTGCGTAAAGGCAGTGAGCTGATTTGATTCATGTGGCTGTCTCACCAGGTAAATGATAATAGATGTTCAGAATGATAATGGTATCTTCACCACAGGCTGTTTGGGTTCACAAATGGTGTCGTGGAATACATTTCATGGAATGTAAAATATGTATCGGGCTGAAAACCCTCCTATTCTTCTGCACCAGAGACAGAGAAAATTCCTGATCGTTTTGAATATTTGTGCCAGGAAAGGAAAGGCTTGCACAAGTTCTATGAATAAGTGACAGAACTTCTAAGTGTTTTTCTGGATTTGGGCACCCCAGTTGAATGAGTTTGTAGTGATGGGGGAATAAACATGACCACATTGAGCATGTTTAAGTAACAGAGCACTTTCAGCACTTTTCTTACAAGTACAAATATGTCTTTGGTTGTATAGACACTGGCTTAAGCACTTAACCAGTGTACTGAAAGTTATATAACTGAAGACAATTTGCTTTAAATGTGTGTTTACACTGTATTATTTATTTTACTTTTTTTCATCACAAACAAAAGCCCTGTTCCTTTGTTAATGGCAACTCAGGATGTGAATCCCAGAATATGACACTGGTTTTGCCCATGTACTGTAGACACAGAACAAAGGTTACTCTTAACACCGTGTACTTAACGCCTTATGACCTCTTTGTTGAGCTCTTGCTGGTTTCCCCCGATGGCCCTTTCATGACTATATTTTTGTTTTCTGTTCAGACACTTGTCATTCCCTTGCAATGGCAGACCATGAAGAGTTCTACCTTGGGAAGCCCCTGACAGGTGTAAGGTGTATTGTATTGTAAACAGGGCCAGTATTTTAGCCTGCTGCAGCTCACTGCCATACCTCTTTCTGCAGATGACCGATCCAGTCACTCTGAATGTGGGTGGCCACCTCTACACCACCTCCCTCTCCACCCTCAGCCGCTACCCTGACTCCATGCTGGGGGCCATGTTCAGTGGTGACTTCCCCTCCACCCGGGATTCGCAGGGAAACTACTTCATCGACAGGGACGGGCCCCTCTTCAGGTACGTGCTTAACTTCCTGCGCACGTCGGAGCTGACGCTGCCCGTGGACTTCAAGGAGATTGATCTGCTGCGCAAGGAGGCCGACTTCTATCAGATCGAGCCCTTGATCCAGTGCCTGAATGACCCCAAGCCCCTTTACCCCCTGGACACGTTTGAGCAGGTGGTGGAGCTGTCCAGCACGCGCAAGCTCTCCAAATATTCCAACCCTGTGGCCGTCATCATCACTCAGCTCACCATCACCACTAAGGTGCACTCCTTGCTGGAGGGCATCTCCAATAACTTCACCAAGTGGAACAAACACATGATGGACACCCGGGACTGCCAGGTGTCCTTCACCTTTGGACCATGCGACTACCATCAGGAGGTCTCCCTGAGGGTGCACCTGATGGAGTACATCACAAAGCAGGGCTTCACAATCAGGAACACAAGAGTGCACCACATGAGTGAGCGTGCCAATGAAAACACTGTGGAGCATCACTGGACTTTTTGCAGACTGGCACGAAAGATTGAAGACTGATGTGCTGTTATTGCTACCATTGTGTTATTGTCATTATGAACTTGCAACACTAAGCATATCTTTGGCCTATAAAAGCCTGGGATTCATTAAGATCTTAAAAGAACCTTTGAGTCTTGTTTAAAAAAAACACAAGTGTAACTCTTAGATTTACTTAAAGCATGTTTTAAAAAGTGTTTTATAATAAACAATAATGGAACACAGTAATGAAATGGCTTTTTTTTTTAAACCGTAATGTTTTGTATTTAATTGAGAGCGCTGGCTGATTAAATATTGCTAATCGGTCCATTCTCAACATGTTATTGGATTTATCTGCTTAGCAAACGCCCCCTCTGTTGCTAGTGTTACTCTGCATTGGTTGACAGCAAGAAGTGCTGAAACCCTTTCTGCTTTGTGTGATAGAAGGCTGTTGTGCACCTCTGGGAGTTCCAGTGTCCGCCAGGACTAGGTGCCCATTTAGTTCCTCTGCTGTGTATAGTCTTCTAGTGTGGCATGGCTGCTGATCATCCCCCAGGAATGTGCTGCACTCCAGCAGTGGAAGCTCTTCACTGCACAAAGCATTGTGGAGTTCTGGAACAAACTACCAAACCATGTTCTCCAAGCTGATACCATGGCTTTTGTCATGAAATCTCTGTATGAGATCCATGGATCAACTAGCCTCCAAGTGACCAAATGAGCTAGATCACCTGAATGGCCTGACACTTGGTTCCAAATTTTCTTAAGTGACATTCCTGAAACCCTTAGGCACTTGGGATTCATTCATTCATTAATTCTATACAAATGCAAGGAACCAATGACAGTGATGAGTGTGGTACAGATTGTATTGTATTCTTTGTATTTGATAAGACTGCTGTTGTGCAAATTGTAGACATGCTTTCTCAAGCTAGATTCATATACACACCTTAATCCGAGCAATAAATATCAGTGCTGCTGTCGCTATTTTAATATTATTCCTCCACATGTACATGTACACATTCCTGTAGCCAATGAATACAGTGGATAGATTGCTTTTGTGTGTTTTTTTTTCCTTGACAGCTATAGCTTTTATCTCAGGAGCGTGTTTCTACATCTTCGTTTTACAGCTTTGTTAATTTTGTGGGGGAATCAAAATGCTTAACCTTTAAGATGTTCATGTGACTAGAAAACAGTAGTGTTATGATTTTAAAAGGGTCTTAAAAACCCACCACAGTATAAAGACTTGAATGTATTAATCATGCAAGTCAGGGAAATCAAAAAATGTTCTGCCATCTTCAAAGCTGCTTAAACTTTCAGGATCTCTCCAAAAAGCGAAACATGAATAAGAACAATGTTTTTTTGGTGTTTTTCTGCCAAGAATCCCAGTAGCCAATGGCGTGTTGCTTTAGCCAACCACTTTCTATGCTTGTTTTGACATTGATTGATTAATTAATTACACTAAATTTCTGTATAATGTGGTATATGTGTCTAACTTTTATTGCATACCTTAAATACCTGGTAGTTATGATGATAGTGTTAGTGATTGTAATATTGACAATAATAAAGTATACTATGGAAAGATGGAGTGTGTGCTTCCTGCTGGTTTAAATATCTCTTTCTGGGAGTATAATACTAATGTAATAATTAAAGTGTGTTTATATGATTATCCATCAATTCATGTTATAACTGATTTATCCATACAGGGTCATGGGAGAGCAGGACCTCATCCTGGTAAATGACTGGAAGGCATGATAGACCCTGGATGGGATATGCAGGGCATAAACGATTATCTAGAATAACTCAATTCTTTTTTCTATTATTTATTTTGTTCAGTAGTGCTGATGTGTAGTATTCTAATATGACATATTCCTGTGAATCGAGGACACTTGAGACAGTGATGGCAGCTGCAGAAATGAACAGAGCTGTATAGGGGCAGCTACGACCTTGAAGAAAAGCTTTTATCATGGAGTGATGACTTCATGAATGTCTTGGAGTTCACCAGGTCTGATGTATCGCCAGGAATAAGAGGCACCCTACGGAGGTCTTGGATATTGATGAAATGTAATCCAGACCCGTAGGTCACAAATCCAAAATCTTCAAGTGAAAACCACACAGTTGGCTACCCTAGGTGCGGAGGACACTTGCATTTGCTTTGTAGCTTCCGTTACAGAAATGTACAATCTGGAGCATACTTTTGCGTTTGCGCTTAAGTTTTCAACCTGGGTTGAACACTGCCTCCCAGGTCAAGATCTTAGAGCCCTGCAAGCTTTCAGGGTTGTGTTCAGCTCGGGGTGAAAATGACAATGTAGGTTAATCAAAAAGCATCATTGACATTTATCATGAAACACTGGCTAAATGACGTATTTCTCTTATTAAGGGACACTGTACTTTTTTTCTGACCCAGAAAATCAAGGGTAGGTAGCAGCAGCCAGACATACAATTGTTAGGTGCAATAATGATGCCTGACTCTGCTGACTCTTGTAGGAGTAAATTTCCCCTCCCCCACCCCACAGATTGCAAAACAGAATTTGCTTACTATCAGAAGGGGTTTGAAACATAGGGGAGCGCTGTTAGCCTATTTTCTTGTTTTGATATGCAATACTGTAATTAGTCAATTAATCTATTTATTGAATGATACCGGATAAAAATAAAAAAAACACCTGTTTTGCTGGGCATGGATTGTTTTTTTTTTCCAGAGCTCAGCATTACTTTTTTAATAAGAAATCTCTCTGATTTCCTGTCCAGAAGCAATATTTTGAATGCAGTTTTGAAAACACTGTATTATGTGGTGCCAAGATATGACAACATGCACCGTGTTGCTGACGTGATTCACAGTGAAAGACTATTATTAGCTAGAAACACTGGAAAATCAGCTAAGCCTCGACAATCAAGAATAACAGAAAATATATTAAATTGCATCAATTTTCTGAAAATTCCGGATACTGCACCCGCTTCACTAACAGTAATTAATATGCCCCTCCTCGTTCTATTGTGACGTAAAACCCCACCCTGTCAGGCTCCTCCCCCATCCCCATCCCCCCCTCCGTCAATCAGCGTTTATCCCCGCCCAGGTATTCATCTGTACCCTCCCTTCTTGTGTTTTACATCCAATAAGAAGATTTAACCACGCCCACCTCGCAAACCCCCTCCCACGTTCAACCCACTTATAGTGTGACCACGCCCACGCCCCGCCCCTTCGCGATGCCTAAAATGTAGCTAAGCCAGCACTCCCCGTCCCTTCCACATGCGAAGCCACCTCCCATGGGACGGCTCTTGCTTCCTTTTTTAGACACTGAGCCCGTTTCCTGGGTGGTCGTACTGTTTGTACCCACCTACTTCGAATTATTCCCGCCCCTCTTTTCTGCCTGTTATCTTTATCTGCAACTCCCCCTACTGTGAGGTGGCAGCCATCTTAACTCGGTCTGGCTCTCTTCAGGGAGATACGAGCTAGCACTTGAGACGCCGATAGGTGCTAATAAAAAGTGAGACCGAGAGAGGTGCCGAGTCGCATTCTCCTGTTTCTTTGTTTTGTGAGACGCAGACAGTTTCCCAACAAGGAAGAACTTGACTTCGCTTCTGCGTTTCAACAGTAGTTCTGTACTACGGAGCTTGAGGACCTATCCCTCCACCATTGAAGGTAATACCCGGGTGAGAAGGAAATATATATTTTTTAATAATGATTTTCTTTGCAGCGGGACTATGCGTAACGTATTGTGGCTTGTGATGTATGCGTTTCCTTTTTTCCGGATCTTTGTTGGTATTTTTATTTCATCACGAAGAAATCCGGGCCATCTGGTCAGTGCAACAATAACTGAGAGTAGACGGGAGAATTGGTTTTGTCAGAGAATTTAAAGAGGTATTCCTAGCCGTGACGAATGACATCTCTTGAACAAAGGGTGTAAAAATGAAGTTTTCCCCTTTTTTTATGATGAGGATGCATTCCTAGGAGTTGCTGCCTGGCTGGTAGTGCATATTGGCTAATGACGTGAAGTTCAATGCATGCTGAGCTTGTGCCTGTCTTCTAGTTTCATTTGAGCTGAAGGTAACTTTTGGAGATGTCCGTGCTGAGCTACGAAAGTGCCCCACGAAATGCATCTGGACCAGCGAAACAATATAACTTTACTGCTGAAGTCTCTCATGTCGCCGTGATTCGTGTGGCTCGCCATGTAGGCATTTATAGAAAGTCACGGGGTGTTTTGTCCAAAAAAAAAAAACAGAAGTTGAGCACGGTGTTTTTGAGTTCTTTGCATGGTGTTTTTTAAATAAAGTAGCGCCTTTCTCTCACGAGTACTGCAACTGAGGATACGCGTCGTGAACGCAAAATACGAAGTTGGTCATGTGTGTTTGAGAGGTCTGTGCAGTGCACCTTTTTTAATTTGGAGGTGAAAACTCACGGATAAGCCTGTGTGAAGTGCCTGCTTTTTTTTACGATTTACATGAATCGTGGCAGTTGGGTTCGTGAAAAACAGGTTTTGACAAGTAGTATCTGGTTCGAAGTGGCTGGTCCACATTTAAAAAAAAAAAGAACATGTAAATGTGGCTTCTAATGGCTTTGTGCTCGGCTTTTTTTACATCAAAGAGTAACGGCGGTTCTTATGTGTTTTCTAATTGTGAGGAATGACTATTGCTTGTTTGAATACCATATCTTGAAAGTCGTGGCTATGATGAATTCGACTTGAAAGGGTTCCCAAATTGTGTAGATGTTACTGGCGTTCAAGGTGTGCGTCCTGGATTAGCTTGGTAACGTTCGCCGTTTTATTTTATGACGGCGTGTCCGATTGGCGATCTACGTTCATTCAGTTCTAACTCGAATTCTACCTGTGAGAGAAGACGCCAAGGATACTGAGGACTACCACGCCGTGACGCTTGCGAGAGAGCGCAGATAGTATCGTGCTTAAATAAGGAGACATGAGCGACCTCTACTGGCGTGAAGTGGCGGCGCATTGGTTTTGCACCAATCTGCGCTGCTGCTTCCTCTACGTGCCTGTTCTGCTCGCCCCGCCCCTTTACGCGTCTAAGTAATCTGCACATCCCCGGTCTCCTGCTCCGCCGCATTTTGAACCATATTTCGATTTTGCTAGTACCTGAGATTGGCGAGCCTACAGCAGCAAATTAAGTGAGAAGTCCAGAATTTCAGGTAGCCAGGAAAAACCTAGGGCCCCACTCATAGTGATGTATTCCTTAACACTAATGAAATGAAGTCCAGCACCGTAAAACAAAAGGATGCTTGTTTTGTAAATGACCCACATCTGTGTTTTCAGAAGAAGCTAGTTCTTCCAGTCTCTCTACATCCCTATCCTCAACTATGGCCAGCAGCTTTGGGTAGAGACTGGAAGAAGGAGACTGTGGGTAAACGTGTCAGGAAAGAGGTATTTCTCCGTAGGGCTGCTGGGATTACTCTCCGTGACAGGGTTAGGAGATCGGCAGTCTGGGAGGATTTTGGAGTCAAGCTGCTCCTCCGTAGCTCGGGCATCTGATAAGCATGCCCCCACACTCCTCTGGGAAGAGATCCTGGGACACGCTGGAGGGGTTAAATCAGCTGGCCTGGGAACACCTGGCAATCCCTCGGGAGTTGCTGGAGACTGTTGCTGGGGAAAGGGAAGTCTGATCTGCTCTGCTCTGCTCAGCCTGTTGCCGGTGTAACCCTCACCAGGAAACGGATGGACTGACTTACATAGGAGTTTAGAAAGTAGCCTCGAAGCTTGAAAATGTAACAAGAAGCAGCAATCCACTGCTCTGCACAAGCTTCTGGTGTGGATAGCACCACTGACCACAAGACACATGTATCCGAAAAGGCAGGCAGATGGTAGATGCTTGTAAAAAAAAAAAACGATTCTAGTGTAGATCATAGTCTTATGAGCTTCAAAGCTAGCACTAGAGTGAAACAATGAATGGGGAGCAAAATGTGACTTTAACAACAGAGCCTTATACAGTTTTAAAGATGTAGGATATTCCTTCTTAAAGTATACATTTTAAGTCGGTTAAAATAGTTTAAATTTCGTTTAATGGAGCTCAGTGATTTATTCACTTGAGATCACTTTTACACAGATGTGATACTGCAGTTCTCACATTTTCATCTGAGACCACATTGAATCTTTAATGAGTGAGGTGGTTATGGTATTGATAAGCTCCCACAAGTTGCTGGGGAGAAGAAAACCCTTGTCCCACAGAACGTAGTCTGGTGTCAGCTGTTGTCCTGCGTCTTGCTGTGACAGGTGGGCCCTTGGCTGAAAGCAATGGGCTACCACATTTAGTGCAAGAGCACAGCACATTTGTGACTGACATTAAAAGCTCTGGCTTAGTGATGGTGACCCAAATATACAAATGGGCATTAAAAATGCAACATGCATGCAATTATGTGTTGCGTTCTACACTCCTTGCCACTGATCCTTGAGAACACCAGTGGCCTTGGAATCTTGTGCAACTTTCAGACATCATTTCATATTCCAAAACCTCTGATCATCAAGAAAGTGGCGTGAGGTGGACATGCTTTTGAGGATGATATAATGTCATAAGTCCCTTTTCCCCGACATCAGCGAGTTGACTGATTCTAGAATTCTGACAAAGAGGGGATGTGGCCTCTGGTAAGAGGTAGTAGTATGCCTTTGTTCCATACTTTTATTATGGGTGGGGTTCTAGAAGGTTCTTGACTTAAATTGCTTTAAATGCATACAAAACAAATCCCTGTTAGAATTGTCAGCTGTGCGTTTTGGCTAGAAACCCTGCTTGGGCAGTCAGCTAGTATTGAAACCCGACCTCAAAGCTTCACTGTTAAGTTCAGTTTTATCATAACGCAGACCTTGTAGAAAGTTGGTTGTAGGGAACTGTGGTTTTAGCTTCCATTTAAAGAGGTATTGTGACTAGAGAATTTTCTAAGACACTGAAAAAAGTGCATAAAATGCCTTGATACAGAACAACTGAATAAAAGAGTGATGAAGCCAGTTTAAACAGTATACAGATGAAGCCATTCAAAATGCGCGGGCGATACCGCCTTATTTTCCGGTACACTGTACGCAGTCTACCGCGAGTTACCGGTCAATACCGCTAGCAAAATAATAGTATCCGGAATTTTCCGCAAGGTGGCGCTAATAAAGCTCAACCTCTCATGTTTGAGCTGTCGCCATCAAAGTCTTTAACGAAGATATAACTAATAGTATTAATAATGAATGACCTTGGACAAGCTGTAAGTGTAAACTCAAAGTATTGCCCTGGTCCACATTCTTTTTTTCATTGACTGTCTTTGTA